GAGCGTATTTTGAAGGGGGGAAGGCTTATTAGAAGGAGGCTGCTTCTGAGAGTGCGCGGGCCTCCTCTACCCCCAGGGCCTACCCCTCGGGCTACCCCAGGGCTGCCCTACGGTCTGAGGCCCTACCCTTGGCAAGCCTAGGGCCTTCAGTAGGCCCCACCCGTGGCAAGCCTAGGGTCTTTGGTAGGGCTTACCCTAGGCAAGCCTAGGGCCTTCAGTAGGCCCAACCCTAGGCAAGCCTAGGGCCTTCAGTACGCTCTAGGGTAGCCCAGGCCCCCAGGGACAAGGCCCGCGCCTTCTAAGAAGCAGGGGTGCTTCTGATGTCACCCTCTGGCGAGAGCAGGAGTTGCCGGGAGGTGCGGGGGGGCTGGTGCCGCCGCGATCTGCGCCAGCGTCGCCTGGGAATTTGGCTGCGTATCCCTGGCCATTCCCGGACGGCGCTGGCGCGAAACGCGACAACGACGACGACGGCCCCGCCGTCGCCATCGGCTGCAAGGGCTGGGCCAGGAGTTACTGCAGGAGGAGGAGGAGGAGGAGGAGGAGGAGGAGGAGGAGGAGGAGGGAGGAGGGAGGGAGGAGGAGGAGGAGGAGGGGGGGGAGGAGGAGGAGGAGGAGGAGGAAAAGGAGGAGAAAAGGAGGAGAAAAGGAGGAGTTGAAAAGGAGGAGAAAAGGAGGAGAAGGAGGAGGAAAGGAGGAGAAAAGGAGGAGGAAAGGAGGAGGAAAGGAGGAGAAAAGGAGAGGAAAAGGAGGAGAAAATGAGGAGGAAAAGGAGGAGAGAAGGAGGAGAAGGAGAGGAGGAGGAGGAGGAGGAGGAGGAGGAGGAGAGGAGGAGGAGGAGGGAGGAGGGAGGGGGGAGGGAGGGAGGGAGGGAGGGAGGGGAGGGGGAGGGAGGAGGGAGGAGGGAGGAGGGAGGAGGGAGGAGGGAGGAGGGATGAGGGAGGAGGGAGGAGGAATATGAGGAGTTGGTTTACTGGTGTGTTGGTTGATTGGTGCATGAAGATGGAGGTACGTTTGGACCCCTCCCTGCAGCCGTCTTCGTTGGCCGAGGGGCTGCAGGGAGGTCCTCGGCCCCTTCCATTGGCTATTGACGCCGTGAAGTATTGGAGTATTGGTGTATTGGTGGGAGAGGGCGACCCCAGCGGCCCCTATGATGGCAGCCGCAGGGGGTGTGAGGCCTATGATGGTCCTCACTGGTGAGGTCTATGATGGTCCTCACCGGGGTGGGGGTGGGGGAAGAAGGCAGAAAGTCGAAGCGGATGTCCGGCAGCAACGTCCTGGGGGGATACCTGAAAAAGGGGACTTAAAAACAACGTCTGTCCTCCGCCTATGTTCTAGAGGAGCCCCGTTCAAAAAAACAGAGGCAGAGAGAGAGAGGGAGAGAGAAGAGAGAGAGGGAGGGAGGGAGGGAGGGAGAGAGAGAGAGAGAGAGAGAGAGGCAGAGACGAGGACAAATGTGCACGCCTCGTGGGGGGGTCGGCCCCCGGACCCGGAAGATACGAAATACACAGATTTCGTATCACAAGGTAGCTGGCAGCGAAGCTGCATCATGGCACCCCGAGAGCGTGCAGCGGCAGGGAAGCACCACCTGGAGTGCGAAAGCGAAACGTGGTGACGTTAAACCGGCCGAAGCCTGGTGACCAGAGGAGGCCCCCAGAGACCGACAAGGGTCACAGGCCGGAGGTATCCACAACTTGTACCCCCGCGGTTGCGATTTATTTTTCCGCCGGCACGGATGGACCGGTACACCCAAAGGCACGGAGATTCGACAGCGGATAGGCCAGCACACCCAAAAACAATGGATGGATCGGTACACCCAAAGGCACTTATTGGCTTTATCCCATGGTGTGGAATACCCGCAGGGGCATACACCCATAACCCACGACACACACCACACAGAGACACACGCACGCACGCACGCACGCACGCACGCACGCACGCACTCACGCACGCACGCACGCACGCACGCACGCACGCACGCACACACACACACACGACCACCCTCCCAGGGGCACACGACGAAAAAGACACAGTGAGAAGAGGACGCCTCGAACCTCGGAGCTGCGGCCAAAAGTCCTGTCAGGGGCACCTGAAACGGGAAACCTGAAAGAGGAAAGCGGCCTGACCAGGGGACCCGAAGCCGAAACAAAGCGACAGGGGGGGACGATACAAGGCGGCCCCTGGACAGCTCTCGGGGAGGGCCGCTGCTCTAGACGTGTAGATTGGACGGCGGCTATACCCATCCTTAGAGAAAGGCGGGGGGGGGGAGAGGAGGAGGGGAGTAGGCCCAGCCGCGCACCTGCGCCCCAAGTGGCAGACGGAGGTGGCTGGGAGGGTTTTACATACCCATCCTTGGAGAGCTCGGTTAAAGGGCGGGGAGCGGGAACGACCTCATGAGTGACGCCGCGGCGGCACATGTGACACCGCGGCGGCACGGGTCGAACCGTCACCCTTGGTGTACTGGTGTACTGGGTGGGCAACTGACGCCACAGAGTATTAGATTACTGACATTGACAGGCACCGTCAGCCGGCAGGGATAAATCCCGTTCACGGCCCCATGGAGGAATATGAGGGAGGAGGGAGGAGGGAAGAGGGAGGAGGGAGGAGGAAGGAGGGAGGAGGAGGAGGGAGGAGGAGGAGGAGGAGGAGGAGGAGGAGGAGGAGAGGAGGAGGAGGAGGAGGAGGAAAAAGAGGAGGAAAAAAGAGGAGGAACAAGAGGAGGAACAAGATGAGGAAAAAGAGTAGAAACGGAGGAAAGGGAGGAAAAGCAGGAAAAGGAGAAAAAAGAGTAAAAGGAGGAGGAGGAGAAGGAGGAGGAGGAGGAGGAGGAGGAGGAGGAGGAGGAGGGAGGAGTGAGGAGTGAGGGAGGAGGAGGAGGAGGGAGGAGGGAGGAGGGAGGGAGGAGGGAGGAGGGAGGAGGAGGAGGAGGAGGAGGAGGAGAGGAGGAGGAGGAGGAGGAGGAGGAGGAGGAGGAGGAGGAGGAGGAGGAGGGGAGGAGGAGGAGGAGGAGGAGGAGGAGGGATTTGTGATGCTTCAGTCTCGGCGCCAAAGTCCGACCAATGTCAAACACATAGAGGAGGGACCATGCCATGCTGCTGCTAATCATGGCCGTGGTGATGAGATTCAGAACTCAGGTCACTCCACTGATGCTGCAGCACACCCTCTTGCTCCAATCCTCCTCGTTCGCCAACGCAGACGCTTGTTGCCACTACGGCGATTGCCTGGACCTGGAGTGTGGGCGTACAGTGTGCACGAGTATATTCACATCCGGCTGAACCATCGCATGCTGCAAGCCGCAATCGGCTCGAGAGGGATCCGCTCTCCATTCAGCTTGTAGACGTCTTGAGAAAGGTGCGCGTGGCGCCAGGGCAAGAGCACCATTTCGGAAAGGAATCGCCATCCGTTTGCGCCGCTGCTGGGAACGTTCTTGAGAGAAGCCTTAGGCGAGAGCTAGACTTTGACGGCCTGAACCTCCCTCCGTTGGTGCAGCTGCCAGAAGCTTCTGGCACTGGGGGCACAAAACAAGAGGAGGTCATATCGGATAGGCACGCGCGAAAACGCTCCGCTGTCTAGCCGTATAGCTGGTGCACAGATTGATTTACAAGTGTTCACGGCGTCAAGTGAAGCGCCGCATTTTGATGATGCCCCGCCCTCCATGTTGTAAATGGCGAAAGCCGTTCGGACGACGGCACGCGGCGACCAGGCGATTGTTGAAAATCACCCGCCCTGCATCCGTGCAGGCGACAATCACAGGTTGAAGATATACCGCTCTCCACCTGCGGAGCTGTTGGAGGCACCCGAGAAGAAGAGGCGCTGTGCTCGGGTGTGCCCAGGTGGGCTCCAGGTGCTGAGGTCCGTCCGCCCTCCATCCGTCCGTGCAGCTGCTGCAGATGCCTAAGACAGGTGCTCTCAGCACTGAGGCGAGGACCACACCCTGGAGACCTCCCGCCTTCCACTTTGTGTAATTGCTTGGGGCATTTAGAGAACGAAGATGCGTGGCGCTAAGGCGAGGACCAGACTTTGAAAGAGCACCAGAGTTCAGCCGTGTGGCTGTCGACAGCTTTAAGACGAATGTGCGAGGTGCTATGGCGAGATCTAGATTGTGAAAACGAGCACCCCTCCAGTTGCGTTGCTGTTGGAAGCTGCAACCTTTCGGGCAAGGAGTTGTGCGGAAGCCGGGCCCGCCCTACCGATCAGTTGGGTGGTTCAGCGAGGATGCGTTCTCTAAGGAGGAGGATCTCAGGGCAGGTCAGGTCAGGCAGTCCTAGAAAGCTTCTCGGTGAGAAAGCAACCGGGGGGGTGAAGAAAGTAAAATTTCAGCCGGTAGACCCCAAAATGGAGCAGACGAGTCGAAACCAGATTGGCCACGCAGACCGCCTTGGGATGAGGCCCAAGACCTCGCACGGGTCCAAAAAACAAGACAAGCAAAAACAGCGCGCGCGTGAGCAAGTAGCACATCAGGACCCCCCCTCCCCCTGGGGGGGGGCTTGATGGGGAAAAAAACATCAAGCCCCCCCCCCACCCCACCCACGCCTCACCTCCCATCCGGCCGTAATGGCAGGAGGCGGCGGTCGCACAAGAGGAGCACCCGCTTCGTCGCTGCGGGGCGCGGCGTGGCGGTGGGTGGAGGATGGGGAATGGCCCACCCGTTCCCGGCACCACCTGTGAGATGGAGGAGGCAGGAGCGGACACGGGCAAACGGCCATGCCAGAACCGGTTCCCCCCCACCCTAATAGTTAACCCCGGTAGCCATCCGCCTCATGAGCTGGCAACTGCCAGGGCAAACAGGGCGGGCGGGCGAGGGGGAGGAGGAACAAGCGGAGAAGGAGAGGGCTGGGACAAACTGGCACTATCCTCAAGATTAGAGACCGCAATCGAAGTACCTTCTAAGTCTTCCTCCTCATCAGGGGTCTTCGCACAGTCAGGATCGAGTACTTCGGAAATACGTGCAATCGCCGAAGGGGCTCTAGGAGGACGAATGGACTGCGCAAAGTCAGGGCCCA